CTTCCTGGTGCAGAGAGGGAGATAGCTTTAAAGATGGAGATTTCCTTACAAATGTAAATGTTTCTTACAAAGGGTAACTTATACTTTTCAGAGTTTCTCTCCTGTCTGCAGTTTTTAAAAGTAACCAGCCCAAAATAATCCTCATGCCAAAGAGAAGTATCTTGGGGTAGCCAATTCCAATCCCCCACACCCACTTCACCATCATGCTGGCCCCAGTAGATGTTTTATTGAATGAACATATCCACCATGACACCCTGGGAGAATACTTTGCAGCTGGCTTTAATAAACAATCTTTGAATTAAGAATTTCAAAGATTTAGTCCTAGTTCACACATTTACAGCTTTGTAGCTGTAGGCAAGTCATTTAACTCCTCTGAGCCTTATCAGTCAAATGGGAATACGCATAATAGGAAATGAAGAATTGGTGAAAAAACTTTGTAGAAGAAACACAAATCTAAGGTGGTACTATCTCTGAAGCCCTTTGCTACACCCCACACAGTGCTTTACATGTAGTAAGCAAGTACTTTATTCTCAGATTGAGTAGTAATGGGATATATTTTATTAAAATCAAAGTTTGGCCCTTGTAGTTAACAAACCTTCATTGGAGCTGGGGAAACTTTACCAAGGGATGATAAAATTATCTCTGTTGCACATGCTGCCTCTCCTACCCTAGGCCAGTTTTGGTGAAAGAGGAAGCAGTCTGCTGCCCAGGGATTTTCTTGGTGCTTCCTCCTGGGTGGGCACATGCTGGACCCTGGAGGCAGAACAGCAACTTGCTGCCTTCCATTTTCCTTCTTGCAGGAACCACCCAGGGGAAAAAAGAAACTACCGCCTGAGGGACGTAGGCAGGTGGGTGGGGACTAACCTGTCTTCAGGAGGATTGCTGGGGAGGTGGGGGAAGAGGGCAGCACTCAGGTGCTTTGCTTTGCATTCTGCTTACCCAGCTATCTTCTGAGGAATCAGTGACTTAATCTTTTCCTTGTGTGGAGGAAGGAAACCAATAAACCAAACCCAGAAATGTGGAGATTACCATGAAAGGCTTTCCTAAAAATACATTTAAAAGAGTGAAACCATAACTAGAAGAGTGTTTTCAAGGCAGAGGTTCCTCTAGCTTTGACCTCCTGGGTTTGGGGGATGAGAGTGGCCATTAGATTTGGGTTTGAGCATGTTTACTATGAATAAAACCATTTCCCTGAAGCCTGGCAAGTTTTGCAGAAGGCATACCAAAATGTAATTGAAATGTGACTGCCTCTTAAATTGTGAAATTAATTTTACACTTGACAAATGCTTTTAAAAAATAGAAGAACAAGTGGCTTTAAAGTTCAGGGTGTTAATGTTTGAAATCTGCCTGGTTTAATTAGCTGGGTACTGGAGATGTTTCCTTTTTCTCTGGTCAGTGTCATTGATCTAACACCCAATTCTCTTCTTGGTTGTGAGATAGGAATTAAATGTATCATTTAGTTAGTTGTATTGACCTGAATCATATCTCCCCAGCATACATTCTTATTTCAGGAAATAGGATGCATCCATGTGGAATTTACTCAGTAACTCTTCTTAGTGACATTTGTGTGATCTAATTCAAGGACCTGAAGTGAAGGCTTCACATGATTTACTTGCATATGATGCAGCTATTTTCAGTACTGCATTTACATTTTTAAAAACAAGAATGTACCTTCTTGGTGAAACAGACATGCGTTTTTAGACTCACAGACTCAAGAACTGTAGAACAAAGAAGTTTCTTAGAAATCAAGTCCAAACATCTTTTTTGTATTGGAGAGAAAGAAACTTGGGTCTGAAAAGATTTAGTGGCCTCAAACTAAGGTCACAGGGTCAGTCAGAGATAGAACAAAACAAGAAACTAGATGGGTTCCCAATACAAGGCTCTTGTCTGTCCTAGATATAAAAATATAGGTGTGGTTTACATTGACAGCTGTCATGACATGTGCAGCTTTTTAAGACAGTGATAGATAACTTAGCCACTTAGCTACCTAAAAGCTCTAATTTGTGCGTTAGCTTATTATAGTATACTGTAGTCCCTGTAGCTGCCTACCCTTAGTTTTCTTTTCCTGCTTGTATATTTAATTTTTAATCTTGTGTGTATTTTTGTAAGCCACCTTAAATCTTTTGAATGATAGAGTGTTTAAATAAAGTACTCAGTGGTACTTTGTATTAATGCTAATTGCTTATGTTTCCACAGTGTCTATGGCAGGTCAGAGATCCTGTGAGTGTTAATGATCCTAACAGTATTTTATCTATCAGAGGTAGCAGTAGAAACAAACTTCCTAAGTCGAATGCCTAAAAAAATTACCATTCATTCATTTCTTCAGAAAGTAATGACACTGTGATCCCCATAATAAAAACCCTGAAATTGCTTTTATTAAGCCTGGAAAATTATTTAGGAGTGTATTTAGTGTCTTAAAATGAAAGACTGGCTGGTAGAATTGAAATATTACCTAGGTATTTAAAAGAGCACTGTAATTATGGTCAACTGATTTTTACCATAGTCAAAGTGCCAAGGCCATTGAGAGGGAAAAGAACAGCCTTTCAACAAATGGTGCCTGGATACCTGGATAATCACATGCAAAAGAACGAATCTGGACCCCTACCTCACACCATATCCACATTAACTCGATGGACCACAAATCTAAGTGTAAAAGCCAAAATTATAAAATTCTTAAAGCACAGGTAAAAATCTGCATGACCTTGGGTTAGGCAACAGTTTCTTAGATATTACATGAAAAGCACAAGCAACAAAAGACAAATTAGATGAATTGGACTTCATCAAAATTAAAAACTGTGTGTGTCAAAGGACACTATCAATGAAATGAAAAGACAATCTACAAAATGGAAGGAAATATTTGCAAATTATGTATATTTGATAAGGGCCTAGTTTCCAGAATATATAAAGAACTCTTACAACTCAACAGTAGAAAGAAAAATAACCCAATTAAAAAGTGGGCAAAGGATTCGACTAGACATTTCTCCAAAGAAGATATACACATGACCAATGAGCACTGGAAAGATGCTCAACATTATTAGGGAGATGCAAATCAAAACTGATGAGGTGCCACTTCACGCCCACTCAGATGATATAATTTTAAAATGGACAATAAGTGTTGGTAAAGATGTGGAGAAGTTGGAACTCTTGTGCATTGCTAGTGGAAATATAAAGTGGTACAGCTTCTGTGGAAACAGTTTTGGCAGTTCCTCAAAAAGTTAAACAGAATTGTCATTGGACCCAGCACTTCTGCTCCTAGGTATATATCCAAGAGAATTGAATACATATGTTCACACAAATATGTATACACAAACAGTACCTTTGTTCAGAATAACCAAAAAGTGGAAACAACCCAAATGTCTATTAATTGAGGAATGGATAAACAAAATGTGGTATATAAACATGGTGGAATGTTATTCAGACATATAAAGTAATGAAGTACTATTACATGCTACAACATGGATAAACCTCAGAAACTTTATGCTATGTGAAAAAAGCCAGACACAAAGGCCACATGTTTTATGATGCCATTTATATGAAATGTCCAAAGGAGGCAAATCCATAGAGTCAGAAAGCAAATTAGTGGTTGCCGGAGGATGGGGAGAGGAAAATTGAGACTAACTGCTAATGGGTATAGGGGGTTTCCTTTTATGGTGATAAAAATGTTCTGGAATTAGATAATGGTGATGATTGCACAACGTAGTGAATATACTAAAAACCGCAGACATATACACTGTAAAATGGTGAATTTTGTGTTACATGAATTATATCTTAATGTAAAATACTAAAAATTTTCAAAGCATTGTGTACCCAAAGGTGAAATGAAAGGTGTTATGAAATATTAGAGACTGAGATTAGAAAGGATTTTCACTCATAAAGAAGTAAAATAAGGGGCCGGCCTGGTGGCATAGTAGTTAAGTTTATGTACTCTGCTTCAGCAGGCCAGGGTTTGCAGGTTCGATTCCTGGGCATGGACCTCCACACTGCTCATCAAGCCATGCTGTGGCAGCATCCCACATACAAAATAGAGGAAGATGGGCACAGATGTTAACTCAGGGTCAGTCTTCCTCAAGCAGACAGAGGAAGATTGGCACAGATCTTAGTTCAGGACCAATCTTCCTCACCAAAAAGGAAAAAAGAAAATAATTTGATATCCCCAAAATCCCCTATGACTGATAGAGAAGTTTCTATTCTGTGCCTTTCAGAGGATTAAGAGAAAGGTCCTGTGGTGTTTTTACAGCTGGACAGGAAGAATCAGAGTTATTAGATGGCCCTCTGCTCAGAGCCAAGGAATGTGGTTAGAGATGTGGTGCAAATTGAGATGATAAAACCAAATTACCTCAACTGAGTAAATGACCTATACTTCAGAAACAGCAGGGAGGTTGGAAAACTAATGGGGAGTAAGGGTAGGACTGAAGGGATGTGGTTTTTCTTTTTTAATGTACAATCCAACAGCAACTCTCCCTAGATTTTTGTGCTAAAATAAGAGCATTTTCACACATTTTAATTGCTCTGCGATAACAACAGTGTGAACTCCATCCGCAAACATTTATTATCTATTTAATTTTTCTCTAATTTCAGTGTAGCAAGAATTCACCTTGTAAGTGGGAGTAACTGTCTGTCTAGTAGAAAGAAATCCCTTCTCACGTTGCTAATCTGTTGTGCGTTTCTATGATAGAGTACTAATAACACATGGCTTTTTGTATTTCTCCATTTTTAGGTTGCATTTATAGATTACAATTTCCAAAGTAGCATCTCTATGAAAGCAAACCCCTCTTGCTCCTTGAACATTAGTAAAGAATATTTAAAAATTGTAGAAGTTAAAGTTTCACAATATTTCTGATCAGGATTTTAGATGAGACTTTTATGCCTTTATAAACCTTTTGTAATACTTGGTGCTATAATGTTCATGATAAACCGTATAGAACTGTCTTTAAGATGCATTTTAGAAATGAGATTTATATAACTTAATGACTATCTAAATTGTTCTGATTATTTTCCAGACCTGCCATTTACTCCATCCTTTATAGTGATGCTACAGGACGGAGAGGAATGGATAAAAACATTGGTGAGCAACTCAATAAAGCTTATGAAGCCTTTCGACAGGCATGCATGGATAGAGATTCTGCAGTAAAAGAACTACAGCAAAAGGTTTGTCGTTTTGGTTTTGAAAGTTGTTATTTATCCTGGTAAATGGAATTTGAGAGTCTTTTGCAACTAAAAATATTGTTAGAAACTGCCAAAAAAACTATAATTACTGAAACAGGGATATATTAATGGATGAAATTTGAGATTTTTATCTGGTGCCTTTTAAAAAAACATTGTGACCTGTGGGAAGAGTTCATTTTAAGGTGATTCTGTGGAGGAAAGATGAATGTTATCTTCCATAAATAATTTTTAAGTAAAATGACAAAGTTAGAAGTATCACTGTCTCAGCTAGTTTTGTTCTTTGGTTTTTTACATTGTTGTTTGACTGGCAGGATGACTGTACAACTCTTAAAATATGCTGGAACTAAATTTGTTGTTAATTTACCTTCTTTGGAAAATGAAAGTACTAAACAGAAATTTTCTATGTAGAGGGGTAATTTTAAAAAGCTGAAACTTCTGTTACATCATTAAAGATTTCCCTTAAATACTTTATTTTTAACTCTTAAAGTTAAAGGTGTTCTCCATAAATCTCATGGTACAGTCTGAATAGGCTGGCACACCAGTCACAACCTTATCACTAGGAACTGTTTTCAAAAGTCAAGTTCTTAGATGCCAGCCAAGGGCCAACCTTGCACGTTGGCTTTTCTGAAGATAACAGCTGAAGACATACTATATTAAATTATTCCTACAAAGAGTTGAAAGTGGAGCATCTTATGTTGGTTCCTTCAATTTAAAAAAAAATTTTACTAGCCTGTGAAGTTCTGAAGTCTAAGAAATATGCTAGCCATACAGTTCTGGGTTCTTCCGTAAATATGGGAACTCCACAATTCTCTTTTTCTTTCTAAGTGATGCATATACCATAAGCTGTTGTACATGTTTCTCTGCATTCCTCACAAATCATTATTCTTTGTGATTCTGTTGGTTTTCAAAAGCATACTCCCACTTATGTAGGTAGACTTATGGACTATCGATCTTCATTGGGGGCTCAGAGGAGCAACAGAGGCATGATAATGATGGGGAGCTTTCTGAAATTATTGGAATGAAGTTTGGAATTTGGATTTCTTTTCCTTTCCAGTTCAGGTATAAGGCATAATAATTTTTTAAAAAACAAAACCTCCCAGCTTTCATTCTTATTTTCCCATTAGATTCATTAAGAAACTTCAACAGTCCTATACTTTTCTAGGAAAGTTAGGAAACACAGAATTAGGGAAGGAGGAGTATTGAGCTATTCTTAGGTTAAGATAGAAACAGGAATTTTTGTACTCTCTTCCTGCACTGGCCAGTGGTAAGCAACTGAAAACTTATGTAGTTTAACCTCTTATTTGCCATGGAAGAAGCCTTTGCTCACATGAGCAATTATCCTAAAGAGGAGGAAGGGAAATATATTTTTTTTGTATTTGTCAAGTACTTAAGAATAGGAGAAGAAAAAATGTTTACTATATGTTCTTTTATATTAGACTCAAAATATCCTGATTTAAGAAATATTGTTGAGTGTCTACTATGTGCTGGGTACTTGATGAGGTTCTGAGAATACTGAAATATGTTTATGCCCTTAAGGAACTTTCCAATAAGTAAAGAGGATAAAAAAGAAGATCAATAGTTATTACCATAGTGTTCTAAGTGCCATAATAGAGATCTGTGCAGGATAATATATGAGCACAGAGAAAAGGCACCTAACTTAGTCTGGGAGGATCAAGTCTTAAGCTCAGTATCAAGCCCAACACTTGGGCTCAGATTAGGAGGTATTGGGTAAATTAGAGAAGAGTCCTGAAAGCAGAGGGAGCAGTATATATAATAAAAACTCAGAAGCGAGGGACTGTATGGTACGTTCCATGTACCATAAGGTAATCCTTTGACTTCTGAAAGACTAGTCATGGTAGTACAGGAAAGAAGCTGTGAGGGTAGATTGGGGCCCTATCATGATGAATATGAGTAAGTAGTTTGTACTGTATTCTTATTCAATCAAAATTTACTGAAGGATTAATATGTGCTTTAGAAAAGTCTTCCTGATATTGGGGATAGAGGATAGATAGGATAGAGGACAGTGTGGAATTCATCTCAACAAATGTATGTATTGATGCTAACCAGTGTTCTAAGAGTCAGGACTGTAAAAATACCTGGCAACCATTAAGTTGCACTTTATGAACTTTAGTATATTTATTAGTATATAATTATAAATTATTAATATACTTGTGTTAAATATAAATGTACATATAATACTCAATTTAAAAAAGAAAAAATGAATGTCAATCATTTCAAGCAATGAGGACTTAAATTAAGCATTAGGGATGAATTAGAGAAGAGATCTAAGATTTATTTAGGAGATAGAATGGAAACCAGGTAGCACCTGAATGCAGGCTACTTCTGAGGGTGATGGCATAGATTCTAGGATGATACCCAGGTATCTGGAATAGAAGACTGGATTGATGGTGCTGATAACTGAAACCAAGAATGAAGAAGAGATGCAGATTTGAGGATGGAGAAATAAGATGTGTAATTAGGTTTTAGTTATTAGGTTTAGTTACCTGTTGGACATGCAGATGAAAATGTTTAATAGATAGTTGTAAATTTGGAACTAGAAGCCTAGGTAGAGTTCAGAATTAGAGATTATAGAACAACAGATTTTATTATAGCCTTGAATGTGGATAACATTCCTGAGTTAGAGTGTATAGGATGAAGGAATATGTAAAGGGCAAGAGGGTAAGAGGAAGGAAATATGGCCAATCCCTTGGTTTCTGGAGATTCAGAAGTAGGTTAAGGAATTTACTGTGAACAAGAGGAGAAACACCTATTCCTCTGAGAACAGAAGGGAACAAGAGAAAAAACTGCAAATGAAGATAACTGTGCATATAGGAGGTGGTGGTGGCAGGAAGTTAGAAGGGTTATCATATATCACTTATATGTGGAATCTGAAAGAGTGAAACCTGTAAAAAACTGTAAAATGGTGGTTACGAGGAGGAGTTGGGGAGTGGGGTTAAGATTGATGATGTTTAGAGATACAAACTTGTAACAAGTAGTAAATAAGCCATAGAGATCTAATGCACAGTGTAATGAATACAGACAATAATACTGTACTATAATTATATAATGTGATAAATATCACAACAGCAGTCATATTACAATATCTAAATCTCTCAAAGTAACACACTGTACACCTTAAACTCACACAATGTTACTCATCAAATTTACTCAATTAAAAAATAAAGAGTGATCATTTGAGTCCATTTTTTTCTGTGAAATACAAGGTGAGGTCATCTACTGAGTGAAGTGATTTTAGGATATTCTGAGAGTGGTAGTAAAGAATTAAAATAGCTTCAGTTAATAAAAGAGAGAAGAAAAATGTTTCATTCACCCTTTACTGTGAACTTTTAGTGGTATCAGTCCATGTTTGTTGATCACTTTTTCAGCAGCTTTCTTGGTATAGAAGTAGAAGAGCTGGATGGTGAAATCCAGGATTAGGAGGTTGCAGAGTTAAGAGTACAAGAACAGTTGGATGGCCAGAAAGTGCGTACAAAAGCAATTGAAATTATATGCTTTGAGATATAAGCTAAAAGCAAAAGGAAGCTAATCTAGGAGGAGTCTAATAGATTAAGAACAAAAAGAAGGTTTATGGCTGAAGTTCTCATGAAGTGAGAGAACAGACACAGAGGAGTGAAAAAAGAGAGTAGAGAATGTGAGTCCAAGGGATGGGTTATTGTTAATGAGTTTCTTGAATTCCTCAATCCCATTCCAGTTCCCCACTTTCATGACTTATTGTGAAAATAGAAGATCCTAAAGATCAATATTTACTCATTTGATTTGATTTGGATATTTTGAATTCAAGTGTTAGAAGATTAGCCAGGGGAAGATGATCAGCAAGAAATTGAAATGGGGATCTCTGAAGTAAGGTACCAGTTGGAAATACAAATTTGGGAGTCATCTTCATAGGAATGATACATGGACTAATGGAAGAAAGAGGTACCAAGGAGAAAGAGAACAGAGCAAGAGAAGAGAAACAAGAGGACAACCTTGTACAAGGGAGCCCCAATAAGACTGTTAGCAGATTTCTCAACAGAAACTTTGCAGACCAGAAGGCAGTGAGATGATATATTTAAAATGCTGAAAGAAAAAAACCTATTAACCAAGAATTCTGTATCTGGCAAACTGTCCTTCAAAAATGAGAGAGAAATTAAAATATTGCCAGATAAACAGAAGTGGGTGGAATTCATTACCACTAGACCTAACCTACAAGAAATGCTGAAGAGTGTCCTTCAAGTTGAAATGAAAGGATACTAGACAGTAACTTGAAGCCATATGAAATTATAAAGCTCTCTGGTAAAGGTAGCTAAATAGACAGGTATAAAAACCAGTATTATTGTAATTTTGTCTTGTAACTCCATTTTTTATTTTCTACAGGATTTAAAAGGCAAGTATATAAAAAATAACTTTAAATCTATATTAATGGGTACACAATATATAAAGATGTAATTTGTGACATTAATAACAAGGTAGAAGGGTAGAACTATAAAGGTGTAGAGTTTTTGTATGCAATTAAAGTTAAGTTGGTATCAATTTAAGATTGTCATTTCTTAAGGATGTTATATATAATCTCAATGGTAACCACAAAAAAAAATCTATAGAATATGCGCAAAAAGAAAGGAGAAGGGAATTAAAATGTGTCACTACAAAAAATCAACTAAACGCAGAGACAAACAATGGAGGAAATACAGAACAAAAAGCTATAAAACATACAGAAAACAACAAAATGGCGAAAGTAAGTACTTCCCTATCGGTAGTTAACATTAAGAGAAAATGGATCACACAGCCTAATCAAAAGACATAGATTAGCAGAATGAATAAACAAATAGAATCCCACTATATGCTGTTGACAAGACTCACTTTAGATTTAAAGACATGCCAAAAATGTCCTTTTCACATTGAAAATGAAAGGATGGGAAAAGATTCCTTGCAAATAGTAACCAAAGGAGAGCAAAAGTGGCTATACCAATGTCAGACAAAACAGA